TATGTAAAGAACCTTGAGATAATGTATATTATGATTTGGTGCAACACAAATTGAATTGAATTTTGATTTAAATGTGTGAGTTCATGTTAAATGAATCAGTGCAGCCTGGAATCCAACACGGTGCAACATGGTCACTGCTCTGAAAACTGTGGCCTGAATGTTTCTGTGATGAAGGAAGATCAAGAATGAAAAGTTGTTTCAGAGGTTTGACAGAAACAAACAATGGTTCAATGGTCCAACTGCTGGAAGGTGTTACCATAGCAACCAGAGTCCAAGCTTAACTGAAATTGGTCTAAATTATATTTAAAACAGTTTGAAGACGATGAAATAATAAATAAAGTTTCAACCGTTGTTGAGAAGATTCAACATGAAGTATGAAGAAGTGTGAAGATCTGCAGCTTGAAGTCGTTTACGTTTAACTGATAACATTCCACTTCAGCTCTCAGGTTTCCATGGTAACCTTGTTCAGGTTTCAGCTGTGGATGTGAAATAATACTAAACAAATAGTCAGTGTTTCTCAAAGTTTCCCAAAGTCTTCATCCCAATGCCTTCGTCATCCTCATTCCTCCTCCTCCTCCTCCTCCTGGCTCGTGACGTGTGGAGCTACGAGGCTCCCGAGGACAAACAGGATGTGTTTGCAGGAAGAGCGTGTCCAGCTTTTCTGAGCTTCACCAACGCTGCGTATCTGGCTGGAGTCACGGTGGAGCTGCCCTGTCACTGCAAACCTCAGCAGGTACATGTTCCCACGGCATCTGTCTTCGTCCTCATAATGTAGGTTAGGACAGAGTCCTCTCAGCAGAGCACTGAATATTATGGTCTTACTATTTCTGTCATTATAATACATCTGTGTATTACTTCTTATTTTAAAATGTTACGTAAATGTTAAGATCAGAGGATGTTGCTCCTCGTGAAGGTCGATGAGACAAACTGTGATTTGTGAAACAAAGTCAGTTAAATGGATCTGAAAAGAGAGAAGACGTCAGGGTGACCCTCAGCGTCTCTGGTATTGATCGACCACCAGAAGATTCTGCTCATCTTGTTCCCTTCGTTCTTCAGGTCCAATCAGTCCTGTGGTTCTTCAGGAAACATCTGGGCAGCTCCGAGGAGACTGGAGCTCTGGGCCATCACCATGACAACCAGCAGCTGGACACCAGTCAGGTCCCTCACAGCGACGACCTGCGGAGTCGATTCTCCATCCGTCTCTTCAGTCTGTTGATCTTCAGGACAGGACCCGACGACTCGGGCATCTACATCTGCGGCTCCGCCCAGAAAGACTTCTTCTATGGTTACGACCTGGACGTGCAGGAGGTGCACAGGATCAGCGTCACTCCGAGGTGATGACATGGACTCAGTGTAATTATAAACACATTCTCAATATTTAATTCTGGTCACTCTTACATTTATCAACTCGTTCATGTTGGGGGGGAAAGACGGAGACTTTTATTAACAGGCTGATCCACTGACTAT